TTGAGGTAACATGAGAAAAGAGACTTGAAGGAGAGACTATGAGGAAAAGATAGAAGCATCATGAGGGAGGCCCGGGTCTAGGCAGGGGTGATACTAGACTGCAGTCATGACATTTATATAAACTAACCAGAATGGATTTCTAAAACACCTAATTACTGTTTTATATTCATTCTTATTTTTTTTTTAATCTCAAACTTACTTATTAGTGGTTCATCTATAACTCCTTTCTGTGACTCTTCCCTAATAAATCTAAGATGCTGGAGAGCTGCTTTATGATAAAACAATGAGAAAAAAAAGAGGGAGTGTTGTAAAGTGAAAGAGTTAAGACATGGCACTACATTTTGGGACTTTGCTTAGATATTGATTCATACAACCAACTCAAAGACATTTTGGGGGCAGCTGGTATAATTTGAATGTGGACTGGATACTAGTTTATAGTAAGGTATTATTATAAATATAGATGAGATATGGCATTGTGGTTATGCTATTTTTTAAATTAGATTTTATCCATTAGAGATGCCCACCAAAGTATTTATGGGTAAAATGTAATAAAATATTTAAAACATTTCAGGAAAAAGAGTGGAGGGGAACAGGATATAGATGTAACCGTATTGATAAAATATTGATCATAGTTGAAGCTAAGTGATGAAGAGAGGGTTTATTATTTTCGTCTTTCTACTTTCTGCATATAATTCAAAATTTCCATAACAAAATGTTTAAAAAGACTAAATATAAAAGTAGCACATACTTAACATAGAGAACTTGGAAAAGTAGACACAAAACTCCAAGAGAAAATGAACATGACATCACCACCTGGACATATCTACTGTTAACATTTATATCCTTCTAGTCTTTTGCCCTTTTATAAATAAGCACATACATGTTAATAAAAAACACACACAAGTCATTCACTATCTAAATCTAAATTTTCTATCCTTTTAGTATATAATAACTGAATCCTCACTATCATTTTGGTGGTTTCATTGCAGTTCAGCATATAGATGATCACAATATATGTAACTATTTCACCATTTGGGGGCTTCTAGATTGCTTTTCCCCCACCAGTATACTATGAGCATCCCTGTAGGTAAATGTTTGTTCACATCCATATTTGGAGTTCTTTAGGAAATGGAAATGGAATCCTAGGGTCAAGGGTATATACAGTGTACAATTTACTAGACATTGCAAGTGACCCTGCAGAAGATGGTACCATTTGGACCTGCACCAGCTGTCTGTGGCAATGCATGTTTTCCTGCACTTGCAAAGCCAGAGACAGACTGGTTCAGAGGGTAGTGTGCACACCCGGCGATGGTGTAGTCATTGCCTAGCAGCATCTCTCGTTCTTATGCCGATGCCTTATTGCTGGATGTGGTGGGGGAAGAAGGGGAGAGCCGAAGTGGGAGTCTGCATGATCTCATAAACGTTCGAATCCGTGAGGAGGCTGTGTGTTTCTGGAGAGTGCCAGTGCCTCTGGTCCTGCCAGGATCCTTGATCTGGTCCAGAAGCCAGAGCTTCGTATCAATAGCATGTATGAGTATTGTGTCAATTACTTGTCAGCTTTTACCATGTCACGCCTCTTGGACATCTGCAAAAATGTGTGGCCTACATTTTCACGTGGGAATGTTAATCTGTGCATCCTCCTAGGTAAGATCACCAAGAGATCTCCTGCATAATCTGTATGCCACTTTACCTTCTGGCTCTGAGCTTTGTTGCAGCTCCTTTCCATTTATCTTGGCATTATGGTTTGATGATCAGTCTTGTTTATTGCAAAATCTGTAATGTTTACATTTTGAGGCTTTCATACCACAGTTGTTTACAAGTTACGCAGGAACTGCCAATTTGGGTTGATGTCGATGTTTCTATTCTACTTTTCATATTCCTTCCCACTCCACTTCATCAGCTGGGAGAGTCTGAGGCGGTCAGAGGACAGGATTCTGAAGCCAGTTTTTTGTCTAAGAGACCCTGACTCAGAGCTTTTCTTTAGAGTCTTGGTTCAAGCATAGCACTTAATGCAGCCAAGCCAAACAGACAGTCAGCAGAGCAGCAAATCACCAATGAACCGAGAAAGTAATAAATCGTTACACAAATTACCCCCTTTAATGTGGAAAATACAGTACTAAAAAAACAGTAAATGAATCTCACTCTTCTCTTTAGGGAAATTAGGTCCTAATGAAAACACCCTTGAACATAACCTCGTCTTTGTGTTATTTTGTATTAATCACACTTGCATCAGTTTGATACACAGCCCTGAAGACTATCTGATATCTGCCATCTGCTCCGATAGACAAACACAGCTGAGTGAGTCATGGCGGGTTTCCCATCCACAGGAACCTTTCTGTAAGAGCGAGAGAAGTGACTGTAAGTTTCCTGGGCAACACTTAAAGCAGAAAGTACAGGAACCCCCGAGTTAGAGAGCTAATACTCAGGAGATACTTATTTTAATAATCATTCATTAAATGTAGTTAATGTTGTTGTTTTTTTCTTTTTAAAATGTAAATTTGCCTAACGGTTTCCTTCTGGGCTTGCCCAGAACCCTCCCCATCCCCTGGTTTTGAGCCCTCCCTGTGTGCCTGGCTGGCCACTATAGGATCACTGGAACTGATGTGTGCGTGACCCACGTGTCACAAATGGCGTGAGGCACCTTTTCTACTTCATTTCATTTACATCTCAAAGTAATCTAAGTGGTGCCGGTGTCTACTGAAATGTACCTTCTGCATTTTAAGGAAAGAGATCATGGGTTTTGAAAAGTATAGTGGCCCTAACCGGTTTGGCTCAGTGGATAAAGTGCCGGCCTGAGGACTCAAGGGTCCCAGGTTCGATTCCGGTCAATGGCATGTACCTTGGTTGCAGGCATATCCCCAGTAGGGGGTGTGCAGGAGGCAGCTGATCGAAGACTCTCTCTCATCGATGTTTCTTACTCTCTATCCCTCTCCCTTCCTCTCTGTTAAAAATCAGTGAAATATATTTTTTTTAAAAGCAAAAGAAAAAAGAAAAGTGGAGTGACTTGCCTGGGACCTCAAGGTGAAGTGGCAGCCGTGGCCTCAGGCTGGGTTGCTGGTCACTCTGGAGGGGAGCTGGTTGGACGATGAAAGTTTTGGGTCTAGTGGTTTGTGTCACATTTGTGGTCAGCAGCACTGACTGTTTGGGGAGATGGCCTGTGTTCGTCTTCGATGTTCCAGCCATGATTAGAGGGGCCTCCCCTTGCTCGGTAAAGCTAGATTTGGATTCTTTTTTGTTGCAGCCGAGAAAGAACAAATAAGCTAAAAAGGTGTAGGTGCCTCTCTTATTCCTCCCTATGTCCTAGGGTTGTCTTAACAAAGTACCCAAAACTGGGTGACTTAGAACAGAAATGTGTTTATTACAGTCTAGAGGTCAGAGAATAAAATTAGGGTGCTGGCAGGGCTGGCTCCTGTGAGGCCGGGAGGGGCGATGTGTCTGCCTCTCTGCAGTGGGGTTTGCTGGCAGCCTTGCCCTCACGGCTTGTAGATGATCACTCCTGCTGTCTGCCTTCATCCTCTCAAGGCGTCCTCCCTGCATGTGTGTGGCTATGTCCAAATTTCTCCTTTTTATAGGGAACCCAGTCACATTGGGTTAAGAGTCATCTTATAATAATTATCTGTAAAGACCCTTTCTATATATCTATTTGTAAAGACCCTTTCTATATATCTATCTATATAAATGGCTAATATGCTACTAGTAAGTGTCTGTCCGACCTAGCTATAAAGTACACGGACCACCAGGGGGCAGACGCTCAATGCAGGAGCTGCTAACCTAGGCAGTTCTCAGGTGACGTACCCCAAAACCAGAGAGAAGGGAGCCTGATTCCTCACAGGGCTGGGCGATTCCACCTTTGGCTGTAGCTTTTGTTGTTGCTGGGGCACTGTCAGCCCCAAATCTGGTTTACTGCACACTTGTGTTTGCATCCTACACCCTGTATGACAGCCACTTTGCAGAGTGCCCTCTCGTACTCCGGGACCCCTTGGGGGATGACGGAGAACCTGTTCTACCCTATCCCTACAGGCCAGGTGGAGGGACCATACCTGCCAGAGGGGACCCTGCTCACTCCACAGACGCCAGGGAGGGACCATGGGAGGTTGGCTCCAGAGCGTGTCTGGCCCTTCTAGCCCAGTCCTGCCCTGCCGGCCACCTTCTAATTAATTGCTTTTCAATGTGCATGAATCCATGCACCAGGTCACTAGTTTCCAAATAAGATCACATTCTGAGATGCTGGGGGTTATAACTCCAACATATTTTGGGGGGGGAAACACAGTTCAACCTTTAACAACCCCATTAAACATAGTGCCAAATAGTACTCCCTGCACTCCTGCACTCACCGTGAAGGCAGGATCCCTGTTGTCTAAGTGGTCCAGGGCCTCCAGGCAGCTTTTGTGATTTAGGGTCAGATGTCAGGGCTGCCCACCACCAGGCCCTGCCGTCCCAAGAGGGAAAGAGGGGGAGGGGAGGAAGAGATTCTGAGCTTTTTATTACTTGGTGCAGAAATTCTGAGCCCTTAGTGACATCCGATAATTGTTTCCTCTTGTTTGAGACACTGCTTCCTCTTATTCTCTCACAACAACAAAGCTGCAAGCATGATTTCTCAACAAAGAGCAGCTCAGAACAGGGATCGTGGTCTTCCCAGGCCCATAGCCAGGCTTTGGGAAGCCCCACACAGTGGTCAGCACACCTCGCCCAGAAACGATAGGCATTGCTCATAGTCTGAGAATTCTGCCTGTTCCCTGTAAGCAGGAAATGCGTCCCCTACCTGTCAGGGAGTATCGGATCCCATGCTGGAGCTTTTCCTAAGGATTTGTAATTCCCAAGGGGGCGTCCTAGGCAACCTCAGAAAAGGGATCTTTCAGATTATCAGGGCCTTTGCCCCAAGTGTTGCAGCCCTTGGAACAGGGATGTGGAAGGGGCGGGGGCGAGGGGGGGTGGCGGTAAGAGACAGAACTGTGGCAGCCACCAGGTCTCAATCTCACCCTGCATGTGCCTGTTTGCAGACACCAACTGGAAACACCAGGACACTATTCCCATCTGGCTGCCTTCTATGAGGACAAGAAAGGGGTGCTCCATGCTGGTCCCGGGAGGGGCGGCAGCCTGCCCCCCGTCTATTGGCTGCCTTCCATCCACCGGTACATGTACCCAGAGATGAAGGTGAGTTCTGCTGTACTCTCGTATGTTCTAGGCTTGTGTGTGCATACAGCAGTGCTTAGTTGTGTTTTTAATTAATAAGGAATTTATGTTTTGGGCTCGTGCCCAACATCACTTTTGATAGAGTAGGATTGCTAACTAGCATTTGGGTTCTTTTAAAATGTAAAGCAAGCAAGAAAAAAAAAAAAAAAGTAAAGCAAGTTACCTTAAACACTGTGCTTTCTAGACCCTTCAAAATCTTTGTGCAAAATCGTATTGATAGGCCAGTCGGGGTGGATTCTGGGGGGAAAGAGGTGGGCTTGAGTCTATTGATTCAGACATTTTCAAGTCAGACATTTGTGCTAATGATGAAGAGTTAAAGTCAGTGTCACATTTTTTTGTTAAAGTGTTTTGGATATTGCTTTATTGTGTATTTTTTTCTGAAGTACTTTGCTTTTATACTAGGATATATTTGTTTACAGTTAACAAAACATTTGGCCAAGTGTTAAGTGTTAGGAGGGAAAAAGATGACTATGAACTTGTGACCCTGTAGGTGGTCACATGATACTTCAGAAACCTTGAGCTTCCTAATAGAGAAATTACATCATGAGTTTAAGGGAGAAATCAGGGAAGGCTTTTTGGAAGAGGAGGTGATCTCTAAAGTGTTTGGATAGGCAGAAAGTGAGGGATGCTGACTCCAAACTGAGGGAAGGCATGGCCAACAGTGGCTGCCAAATTAATGGTTTAAACCAGTGTGGGTCAGGAATCAGGCACGGCTTAGCTGGGTACTCTGCTTCATGATCTCTTGTGAGACCACAGTTAAGGTGTCAGTTAGGGTTTGAGTCTCATCTGAAGGCTCGACTAGGGAAGTGTACCCACTTCTGAGCTCACATAGTTGTTGGGAGCATTGAGTTCCTTGAGGGCTTTGGACTGAGGGCCTCCATACCTTACTGACTGAGTGACAGGCTTCTGTGTTTACCATGAAAGGAGAGATGGTTGTAGTTGAAGTCCAGTGGACTGTTCCACCAGGAGGCTTTGTGGGTCCTCCTCCTGGGAACCTCAGAATGCAGGATCACCTGGACAGCATAGAGCACATGTGTCAAACACAAGGCCCTCGGGCCAAATCCGTCCCACCAGGCCTTGCAATGTGGCCCGCACCGCGCTGTCATCACTGCACTCCGCTGCGTTTCCATCACAATGACAGTTTATGACTGTTCAGTAAACCATTCGGCCTGCAATTTAGGCTGGATTTTAGATTTTGGCCCCTTCTCTGATTGAGTTTGATACCCCTAGCATAGAGCAACGCCTTCAATAGCATCCTTGGAGGCTGAGGGGCTCAGAGGCGGCCAGAGGCTTTGCAGAGACCTCATTCCGCACAGCAGCTGGGTCCCCATATATTTGGGGACCTAATTTGGGACCCTTTGCTTATCATTTTATACCTTCCAGCACCCAGTAATGTTTGTGAGTCAAATATTCTCGCTGGGGTGTACTGTCACATCAGATACTTCTATTTATGACTTATAAGAGGTTTTATTCAGTCCTGTTTTCCCAGCACCTGTCTCTCCTGGGTAAAGTAGTTAATGACCCTTGAACTCAACTTCAGTATGTCAGGAGAGCTGTTGAGTGATTAGGCATCTAATTTAAGATGGGACTTTGAAAGAGGAAACTATCACTTTATTTAAAAGTAACCATCCCTGCATCTGTTTGGTTATACTTTGGTGTTTATTTTAGAGGGATTCACACAAGCCTGCATTGAATATTTTTTGTAGGAATATGTCTATTTCTTCTAGGTTGACCAGTTTGCTGGAATAGAGTTACGATTTTCGTATTTCTGTGGGATCTGTTGTTTTTTTTATCTCTTTCATTTCTGATTTTATTTATTTGGTTCCTCTCTTATTGGTGAGCCTGGCTAGAGGCTCAATCTTGTTTATCCTTTCAAAGAACCAGCTCTTGGTTTCATTGATCTTTTGTATTGTTTTTTTTTTTTGTCTCTATGTCATTTATTTCCACTCTGATCTTTATTATTTCCTTCCTTCTGCTCACTCTGGGATTTTCTTGTTGCTCTCTTTCTAATTCTTAAAGTTGCAGAGTTAGATGGTTTATTAACAGTTTTTCTTGTTTTTTTGAGGTAGGCCTGTAATACTATGAACTTCCCTCTCAGGACTGCTTTCACTGTGTCCCAGTGATTTTGGATTGTTGTGTTTTCATTGCTGTTTGTTTCCAGGATGTTTTTTTTTTCTTTCTTCTTTGATCTTTTTGGTAACCCACTCATTGTTTAATAGCATGCTGTTCAGCCTCCAAGTGTTTGAATTATTGTGATTGTTTTTATTGTTTGAATATTTTTTGAATGATGTTTCTAACAAGCTATCTCTCCCTTTTTATTTTTTCAGATCACACACCCAGCTGGCTGCATGTCTCAGTTTATTAAGTTCTTTGGAGAGCAGATCCTCATTCTTTGGAAATTTGCCTTACTGAGAAAGCGCATTCTGATATTTTCTCCCCCTCCTGTGGGTGTCGTATGCTATCGAGGTAACTAGAGGCCAATGTCAGAGGCTCTTCCTGAGTTCCCCAGGGCAAATGCTTGAGTCCTTCCATTGTTGACCAAGTTCAGAAGGATCTGGGCCATATCAAGGGAGGGGGCCAGAATTTTAAGCCTAGAGTGCCTTGGTTGGATCTGGATTTAGAACGTGGACTTGTGACAATGCAGAAAATGCACTGGGTGATGTACCAGTGGTACCATGACAGATAAGGGTCTGGATTAGAGCAGAGAAGATGGATTGTAGTTAAGAGATAAGCTTGACAGCATTTGGTGCATGGTTGGGTTGTAATGTTCAGATGTGTATGAGGTTGTAATGGTGGAAGAGTCTAGGGTGACAAGGATGGTGGGGCCACCAGAGGAGGAGGTGGTGTGAGAGTGAACTTTGGACATGGTGAATGGGTGCTGTGAGGCGTTCTCCAGATGTCCACTGGGCACTGGTGTAATGGTGTCAGGACCCTGGGGAATATTGGGCTGATCACCATGGGGAGAGGGAGGGATGAGAAGCTCAGGAGGTGAATCATAAGGAGGAAGACAGAGGAGACTGAGGTGGGACTGTCAGGAGGGAGGGGCCAGAAGGTGGAGGTCCTAGTAGGCGGGAATTTTGAGGAAGTCAGGTCAGCAGTGCCTCTCCTAAGCAAGCCCTAGTGCAGGGAAGACTGAGACATGCTCACTGGTCTCGTAGGCCATCACTGGTGTGGCCTTGAGGACCTCAGTTCTGCTGCAGTACCTAAACAGGCTCCCATCACCTCATTGGAATCAGGACCACCTGCTACTCAGGCACATGGGCAGCATAGAGCAAAGCCCTCCATACCATTCTTGGAGGCTGAGGGCTCAGAGAGGGCCAGCTTCGCAGGCGGAAGGACCGGGAGCAACAGATTCTACCCTTCACCGTCTCTGTCCCCACAGTATACTGCTGCTGCTGCCTGGCCAACGTCTCCCTGCCTGGCCTCGGGGGCACCATCCCTGAGTCCAAGCCTTTCTTCTACGTGAATGTGGCCGACATCGAGAGCCTGGAGGTAGAGGTGTCCTATGTGGCCTGTGAGTACAGGGCCCTCCCCGCCTCCTGCCCACACGCCCCCACCCCGAGTACCTCCCACCGCCTCCCGGCTCCCCAGAGGCTCTTCTCCTCAGGGACCCGGGCTCCCGGGCTCCTGTTCCCCGGCGGGTGTCGGCCTCTGGGTCCCAGCTCCTGCCCGCGGGTCTCACAGGCACCACAGAGAAGATTTTCGAGGAGAAGCGGGAGCTGTACGATGTCTATGTGGACAACCAGAATGTGAAGACGCACCACGACCACCTGCAGCCCCTGCTGAAGATCAACAGCGCCGACCGGGAGAAGTACCGGCGGCTCAACGAGCAGAGGTAGAGCCCGGCAGCGCCCTCGGGGAGATGTCCCCAGGTGGGACCCCTGAGCCGGGGTCTCCGCCATCCCATCCAGCCCACCCTCCCCTAAGAACACATGGCAGGCCTGGGCGGTGGGCGGTGAAGAAGCAGGGCCCAGCACAGCCTCCTGATCTCATAGCAGATCCGCATGGGGGTGGGGGGACCTACTTTCTGGTGGCCTTGAATCTGTGAAGCCCAGGGCAGAGGCAGGCTTGGAGCATCTGGCGTGTGCACCGCAGCTCTGAGCTGCCTCATCATGCTCCACAATTCACTGTCCTGCAAAACCAGTGGCCTCATTAGCATCCCACCTGATGGGCAAATGGGAAAGATGACCACTTACTTGAGGGGACACAGGACCAGACCCGGCCCTGGACCCAGGATTTGACTCCCAGCCCTATTTATTCCTTTCCGGCCCCTTCTCTCCCTGTCTTTGGATGGGAGCCTGCTCCAGGTCCTCCTCCTTCCGGGTGGAGGCGGTCTGTGGATGCCCTCACGATGACTTAGCCAATGACAGAGACCTTGCAGCCCTGCAGAGTCTCATGGTGCTTCCCCACAACAGGCAGACGCTGCTGTACTCCCAGGAGGTGGAGGGGGACTACGGCCCGTGTGAAGAGGACCTCTTTGTGCTGTAAGTTGCTGGGCTGGGCTGTGGGGCCTCCCTGAGAGCCCCACTAGCACCAGCGCTGTAGGTCAAATCCCCCCTAGGTCACACTGCAGTCCAGGGAGGTGCCTCATTGCTGCTGTCCATGTAAGGAACATGCAAACCTGTAGATAATTTTTGACTTTGAGACAAACAGACAATTGCTGGGAAGCAAGATCTCAAATGCTCTGGATTCAGGGACTTCTCTTCCACTGCTGCCTTGGGATAGAGCAGTCTTTGCATGGAATCTTATGGGACACTCTGAAAATTTAACCCTTGAACCTAAGGAAATCATCCCCTCCAGATCTGTTGGTAGTCAGGGTGGGAGCCCCAGCCTGTATCCATCAGAGTATCCATTTCATTCCTGAGCAGATTTGAACTAGTGCTCAGTGAGGAGCTTCCTTTGCCCGGTCCTGGGTGGGTTGTGGTCTCCGTGTGTCCCGTCCTGGGTCGGATGGGGAACATCTTGCAGCGAGAACCCTCTCTGGCTTTGGTGTTGAAAATGTAATATTGACATTTCAACAAAGTGCAGGACTGTGATCCTGAGAAAGTGAACCTTCTAGCGTCCACTTACAAGCTATTGAGGTGTCAGAGTACCTGGGAATGGTCTCCTTTGGCTGGGCGTTCGATGGGTGTCAGCTCCAGGCACCTGGACTTCCTGGGTGTCCACAGCGTCCTTGGGCATGAGGCGCCATTGCAGAGCCCGAGAGCGCTGTGGGACACAGCCGAGCAGTCTAGACACCAAATGCCTTCCCTGGACCCGGTTCATATACTCGTGTGGTTCTGCCAATCAGTGACATGAGAGCATGCTCTGTGAATAATTTTTAAAAAGTAATTAATGAGAAACAAACACCAAGGATGGGGGTCAGCTGTGGCAGTGCTGGTTCCTGCAGCGTGGCTCTGTGTCTCCCTCACCTGTCACCGCAGCCTTGCTGGTTTCAGAGCGCCCCATGCCCACCCCAGCTCCTCAGAGCTGCACCTTTAATGTGGGCATCCGTGTCGGCCAGCATGGCCTGCAGAAGCTCTGGCATCTGTTGTTTCAGAGCCTCCTGCCGCCGCCGTTACCCAGCCCAGGCTCAGAAGGTGCACTTGTTTCTCTCTGAAAGTCCTGACCTCAGAACCGAGCTCCAGTTGTTATCTTACCTCCCCTGTGACTAAGCAGAGAGAGGAACACGGCACAGGGGCCTCCCTCCCAGGCCGTGGTTAACCTGCTGGTCCCCTCTCAGCAGGCCAGCGCTTGCTCAGAGATTCCTCTAATCACCCCGGGATTGATGCCAGTGTTTTCTTTGCCAATCTTAGTTTTACTTGAATATACCTTCCGTTTAACTTTGGTTCTTTTTTCTTTAAAAGAGATTTCTGATTTTTGAAACCATTGGAAGGTATATTCAACAGGACAGTGTGGCCTGGTTCCCCAGGCGTGGACTTCCTGGTGAGCTTCTTGTCTTTTCTGCCCTCCCTCTTCCGTGTCTGGTCCCGGGAATGCAGGTTTTTCCTCGAGCAAAACAACCGGATATTCCAGACGCTGCTGGAGGTGTCTGCCAGTCAAGACAAAACCCTGACAGCCGAGCATGCCCGGGGCATGGGGCTGGACCCGCAGGGCGACCGCAGCTTCCTCATGGACCTGCTGGAGGCCTACGGCATCGACGTCATGCTGGTCATCGACAACCCCTGCTGCCCGTAGGGGAGAGCCCATGAGCTGCTGCGGGGACTCTGCCAGGCCCCCCAGGGCTCACTTTTTATTAAGTGGACACAAAGGGACATTGTTTATACTTTCCAACTGATGTAATTTTTGCAATCGCCGTTCTTCCCTTGCTCTGGAGAGGTAAGATGAGACTGCTGTGGTTTTGTGTGTGCCTTCCGTAGGCCGCTGCCACCTTCTCCCAGAGTTGCTGCCTGCTTTGGTGTCGGGTGTTCTCATCAGCGGGAACTCTCTCATCTCCTTGTTGAATGCCCTGAGATGTGGCAAAGGCCAAGTGTCGCCAGGAGTGGGCTGATCTCTGGAGACACAGATATACTGTTCCGGAACACTCTGTGGCCCGTGGCCCGAGATGGATTCAAGGATGAGACCAAATCTTCCCTAAGTGTGGTGGTGGGTGTCCCGTGGCGGAAGCTAGACCAGGTGACCTTTCAAGGTCATCGCTTCTGAGAGTCCAGTCTGAGGGCCAGACCTATTTTCCTGTTTATTAAAACAAATCTGTGTCTTCCTGTGAGGAGAGATCTCAAAGTGGGACAGAAGGATGTGTCTGACCCCAAGCGCGAGCTTCTGGGACAGGGCGACAGGGAGAAGCTCCTTGTTAGTCAGCTGAGACTCCTCCCAGTTCTTGGGGGCCACTCAGTGTAGAATTCCTCTTCCTCAGAATCCCCCTTTTGGGATGGATTGGCAAATCCATTTTCCAATTCAGTCTCCTTTAAGGGCTACCCATCCTCTTAGAATAATTTGGGTATATTTAAAGACTAGCATTTGTTGCCCAAAGATGGAGGAATTGAGGTGCAGGATAGAAGATGTGCCTTCATCTGGGTGTGCCCTCCGGAGGTGTGACCAGTAGAGCCACAGGTCAAAGCAGAGCCTCCTGGATGCTGTGATCCAGCCAGGATCTGAGCTGGTTAACACGGAGCTGAGAGCATGTTAGCAAGACTGTGGGCTAGCATGGAGCCCCACAGAGCTCCTCCTGCAGAGAGGACAGTCCTTGAGCTAAGTAATTGGGGACAAGGACCTATCAGGTTGTTAGCAAATATGACAGTGCCTTTCCCGGGAGAGCGGTCGGGAGCCCAAGTATCAGGTGAGTTTCTGCTTTCCTCTCAGAGGTTTCAATCCAGACAGCTCCCGTCGGTCCCTGCCTGTTTGGTTTGGCTGGGCGTTGGATGGATGTCAGCTTCGGTGACCTAGGAAGCAGGCTCCTGTGAGTAGTGTGAGGGCAGTAATTTAGGATTTTGACTTAAGGAAATAATTCCTTCCCCTGCCCCCTTCCTGCCCGGCTGTTACTGGAATAGCCGTCAGTGTATCGTGTCTGTGGCCAGGCTGCAGCCAGGCTAATGCACACAGCAGCAGAGAGAAAAAACCCTCCGGTGGATGAGTCACATGACTGAGCTCAATGTTTTCACTGTGGCTCCTTACGAAGGAACTCCAGGCTACTGAAATGCACACCTGGGACCGCCGACAGGCATTGAGCCATCGAGGCAGTGCCTTTTCTGTAAATATGTAAATAAGTGTGGGCATTGAGAGGTAGTCTGTGCAGTCCATTTCTCTCTCTGCAGTCATGTCAATCGTATGTATGTTCATAGAAGAAACGTGTGTGCAAGCGGAAGCTGCCCTGCCCTCTTCATAGAGGAGCGCCCTCTCATGTCAGTGGCATGTGAGAGGTTCAGGGGTACAAAGCTGGGGGTGGTGGTTGGAGCAGGGTTGAGGTGGAAGGGCAGGGCAGGTTCCCGTGGAGGAAACGGGCAGACACTGTTTCCATGGAGCTGGGGAGTGGTTGGAAGAATGCTTTTTCAGCACTTGGGCTCCGGTCTGTGTGCATGCGAACACTTGTGTCTGTGGTCTCGTAACTCGGAGCTCGGAAGTGCTGAGGTTCAGGTGGTGGGTGAAAATGAGGCTCCTGGAGTCCCCTTTGAATGGTGGGTTAGGGGCTCTGGGCTTCGCTCAACTCCACTGTTGTGGGCAGCCATCTGTCTGGCATGTCTGTGCATCCACCCTCATGCCGTGGAGAGGCCTGGGGTCTGGGTGCCCCAGTGGGGAACATACCCATGAGGCTGTGCCATGTCTTAGATCATGGGGAACCTGGGCCCAGCTGATCCCCAAAGCAGAACTTGTCTGATTCCTCCCTGCCTGCCTTCCTTGCAGCTTCCTCACGGGGCCAGAAAGTCAGTGTGTGCCACCTCGGCTTGGCTGACCAAGGTGCGCACTGGCTCTGTATTACTGTTGTCGCAGTTTGTCATCTCCCAAGCAGTTCTTGCTTGGATTGAGATATGGAGGTTCCCCTTCGAAAGCTTGCTGTGTACCTGACTGCCATCCCCATCTCCTCCCACTGTCTCGGGTGGGCAGCCCAGCCCAGCCTCATTCGCCGCCTGTCTCCCAGAAGGGGCCTGAGTTTGTGAGGTCTGAGGCAGGAATCCTTGGGTGGCAGCAGCAGAAGCCGGAAGCCACCTGGGTTCGGTTTTCTGTCACTGTTGAAACACTGAGAAACCTTCGCTATAGTTTGGAAGATGTTGGTGAGCATCCTTCGAGGTCCTGCCTCCTCAGTCTGTAAGCTCTGAGGGGGAAAGGGGGCGGGGGGAGAGGGGGCGCAGGGATGCCTATTGTGACCACTGACCTTCTGGAACCTGCTGGGAACCTAACCTGGGGTGTGGCCCCTCGTTTGGGTGCTGTTGCTGGAGCAAGCCCCCCTGCCCCAGCTGCCCGGTCCCCTGGGCAACTTTCAGCCTGAGCTTGTGTTGTGCTGAGAGCCGTGAACCAACCTGGGAACTGCTGGCCTGAGACTCCTGGGCTGCTCTGATATCCTGAGATGGCGTTAGAAGAAATCCCAGGTCACGAGAATCCTAGTGAGGCCTAAATCCAGGCGTGGGGCCTACTGCTGTTAACGTGGGGTTTTCCAAGTTTGCAGGCTTGGCAGATGGCAGCATTCAGCCTTTGCGACCAGTTGTCCTCTATCAGGACTCTCTTGTTGAAGGAGTCAGATATGGTCCGGTATAGCGCCTCCTAATTAAAAAGTCCGGGCCAAGTTGTCTGTTGAGAATTTGTTTTGGCTTTCGTGGAGCATGACCTGCCCAGGCTGATGGAGATGTATCCCAACACAGGAGCCCCAACTGGGGCCGTGGGCCTCGGTAGATTGTGACTGCCCTGAGTTAGGAGGCATGTGCCTCCCATTTCTGTCATCCATGCGACCCCTCTTCTTGCATTTGGCAGGGGGCAGGGAAGCCGAATTCATCGATGTACTGGAGGAAATGTTAGCATAGGAATTTGCATCATCTGTAACTTGACCTTGTTTGGTTCCACGTTTAAGTGTAGCACAGGGTGTAGGTAATTCTCAATATGGTGTGTGAAGATTCATTTATCAGTGTAACGATCTGTGATATTTTAGCTAGAGGATAAAGATGAAGCTCAATTAAATCACAGCTGAATCAGTTTCTCCTGCTGGTGGCAAGGAGGAGCAGCCAGCTATTTGTCTTTATACACTGAGAGCCCTTCAGGCACAATAGAGAGAGATCATTCACCTTTAAACAGGCCTTTAGGGAAACTTCTGCAAAGGGCAGTAACAAATTAACCTTCTCATGGTGGTATAGGAGCCCTTCAGGAAGAGGCCGGGACCTCAGGGACCGTTTTGTTTTTCTGGTGTGTTTTTTATGAAAACTACAAGGCCCAGTGAATGGACTGAGATGCTTTCTCCAGGCTCAGAGCAGCTCATTCTTGCAGAGGTACAGGAGGGGAGGAAATCATGACAGTGTTCTGATAGGCAGTGAACTTGCCGTAGTGTGATGACAGAAAACAGCAAGAAAGTTAATCTGGGGACTAACACGTATACACAGCTTTATCTCCGTTAGGTTCCTTGCTAGTGGGTGGAGGATCCCAGAAAAGTCCAGTCCCCAGCTTTCCCCAGCTCTGCTCAACTCTCCTGCAGACCCAGATGCTTATTTCCGCAGGCCCGACCCCCGCACTTTGGAAAACCGTTTTCTGATGCAGGTCGCAGAACATAAGGAGTTAAAAGCTCCTTTTACTCCTAAGTTGTGAATTTTTAATATTCCATTGTGTTACTAATATACCTCTGTTCCCAGGAGCAAGTACTGAGTATTATGAGGAAAGGCTGTGAAATTTAGTTAGTTTTTCTTATAAAGAAATTGAAGTTTATTTTTATATCAATATTACTGTGTGATGAAATGAGTATGCAGATGTTAGAATGGAAGGAGATTTCCAAACTGTAATCCTACCTAGAAGAAATGGGCAGTTTGGGAATTTGGAAGCAACTGAGACCCCATAAAAGTTTTATGACTTAAGATGTTTTGGAGAGTGAACAAGGACTGTGAAATCTTTTTCTTATACATGTGTTTTTATTCATTTTAGAGAGAGAAGGGAGAGGAACAGAGAGAGACACATTGACCTGCCTCCTTCTGTGCCCCATACTGGGCATATGCCCCGACCCGGAATTGAACCTGTAACCTCTTGGTTCATGGATCAATGCCCAACCACTGGGCCACCCTGGCTGGGCAGCACTGTGAAATCTTAATAGCTCTCTGTAGGAGATAAACCTGACCATCCTAGGCAGGGTGACATATAGTCCCCAACCTTAAGTAAAAATCCCGTACCAAGGGGGCAACTGAAATAATGCTGACTAGGCCTCCTGACTGTGGAAGGCAGTTTTACTAGTGTGACTGGCACTTTAACTCACGTTTGGAGCTGGAGAACGGGGGCAGCTGGACGAAGCTTCACATTAAGAAAGGAAATCAGCATTTCCTAATGCCATATAGGTAATGACAGGGAAGTAAAGCTCTGCTTTCATTTCTTCCGTTTATTATAGAAGCTCAGCGCAGCATGGGCTTTCAGAGGCAGTAGGACCTAAGTTCAGAAACTTAATTGCTTACTGGGAGGTCGGTGGGAATCACCTGTTTGCTGTGGAAAGCTCACTTAGACTGAAGATCAGTTTGCTTTGCTTTCTAAGGATGGCTGGGAAGGCGGGGCAGCGAATTAAGATTGGCCAGAGATGATCCAAAAAAGGACAAATCTACACAGAGGTCACTGAGTTAGATGACTGCTATTTTGACATTCGAGTGAAAACTTCCTCTGGGAGAATTAAGCAAAGATAAAAGTGTAAACAATTTTTTTTCCAGTGGCGTCAGAAAGAGTTTCAGTCTAGTGTGCCCAGGAAGACATGGTGAGGGGAGGTGTAGATCCTGGGCTTTTGTCTGACAGAGTGGGAGGGGCCGTTAGGGGTATAGAGTAGAAACAAAATAACATCCTTTACCCCCAGCTTGTGGGCTAAACTTTTTGTGGGTCTGAGAAATAAACCTTTTCTGAAAAAGTTGTAGCTTTGGAAAAAACGATTTTCCTATTTAGGAAAAGCATAGCATCCCCTGTCACCTATTTTGATTAACACCCCAGTATAAGAGTTATAGCAATAAGAGAAACTGAGTCTACTTTTGTTTCAAGTCTTTACCTCATCAATATCAGTAAGTCAGTTGATAAATTTTACCCTGAGTACCACTGCTTATAGGTATGTTATTCTTGCTCTGTTTTCAATGATAATTTTAAAGGCCCAGAGAAAGTTGGGATTATCCTGAATTTGAGTGTTTCTTGAGTTGATTTTGTTCTGTGGTACAAATACCATCTGTGTATATCATTATCTGTATATATCTGAACCAAGTTGTGTGTAGAGAGGTTGATATAACTATATTTACAGAAAATAATTTTTACAATTAAAATTCACATTTTAACATGAACACGTGTGCGCAGTCCTTCACCTAGCCCGAGAAATGTGTCTGTAGTAGAGAGTGACGGCCCAATGCAAGCGCAGAATTCACGGCTGAGCTCACTTCCCACGACGGTGTGGGAAATATGAGAGCTGGGGCCTGTCCTCCTGGAGGCCAAGGACAGGCATTCTCCAGGCAATGGGAACCAAAGCCGGAGTAACTGCCATCCGGAGGAGCCAGCACCTCGAACCCTAGTCCCATCAGATGACTTCTAGAGGACGACCCCACAGAGGTCTGTATTCTAGAGGGCAAAGTAACAAAGGTTACTTTAAGATGTTCTATATTATATATGTATTCACATAAATGTATTATATATATTTGTATTATATATAAATATATTATATTATATATCTGATATGGGTGTATATGAGGACACGAAAGTTTGTTTGATTTTTTAAACCTAAGGCAGTAAAAATTGCTAACATTGTTGATTTGTTTTTAAGCCAGGCTCCTATTTTCCAAGCTAAATGACCATGATGTTACCTACTTCCTAGGGCTGCTATGAGAACTGAATGAACCAGTTGCTTGTGTAAAGCACTAGACACGTAGTAATGATAACCGTGCGTGCAAAAGACTTTACATTAGATTGTTTAATAGAAATACCCTTAGCTTGTGAGTGAAGTTGGCCTGACAGAAAGTTTGCACTCAACAGGAGGCGAGGGGCTTCGGTTCTCTGGATGCTCAGCATCCCAGGTGTGGCTGACAAGGATGACCCTCTCCTGGCTGCACTGCGAAATGGCCTTTGCATGGACATTATACGGAAGGACAAGGCAGCAGATAAGGAAACCATAGTCCCACAGAATATAGTTTAGATGGGGGCATTTTTATATTTAAAGTGACTAAAAATAGGAATCTGGATTAAATATCTTCCCCAATGCTAAGTTCCATCATTTTGTTGGAGGGAATAGAAGCACGGACACACACATGCTGGTTGCCTACCAGATTCCAGCTGGTCCTTCATACTATATTCTAGAATCATGTGCTCAATTCTCTGGCTCATGGGAATTTTTTCCTTCTATCACAGCATCTCCTCCCCTCCATGGGCAGTGTGAGTTGATGATCCTTACTCTGCTTTTTCAGACCCACCTGTTATTTTTTTTTTGGCAGAAGCACAGCTTTCAACACCTCTCTGAAGAAGGCATAGGTAAGCTTGTTTTCTGTGCACTTCACACACCGGCTTTTTGTAGCAGCTTTATAAGGCAGGGGTGAGGGACGTCCGGCCCTGCCAAAATAATTGCAGGTGGGACTAGAAATTCAGTAAATCTAGGATTTTTTTTTTTTTTTCATAGCAACACACTTTTTAAGTTGATAATTGTGTATAGCCCCTGAACGATGTTATAAATACTCCAAATGGCCTTGGCAGAAAAAAGGTCCCCAGCCCCGCTTTAAAGCATCAGACAGCAAGGGGCTCACAAGCATACATGCTGCCCTGAAGTGGGTCCACCCGCGGCAAAGGCCTGCAGGCCGCCTCCCACTTTTCCAAAAGAAGGCATGCCTCGTCCATTTACTGAGGTGCTTTGCCCTCTAGAATACAGAACTCATGGGCACTGAACAAGGGTGATGTTGAGATTAAAAGTAAAGGAAGATGGCTGGCTAACAAATCCTTAGCAGACCAAGAGTTTCTAGTTCTCTGCTTTCAACAAACTAAAGGGAGATGTCAGCAAGCTGCTAACAGATCCCTGATTTTTGACATATAATAGTGTCATGCAGCTCTTCAAATTCCTTTGATGTGCTTAAATCTATGAAAAATAGAACAAATAGTGTTCATTCCTATTCCATTTTTAGCTACAAATAATTAGGATAAAGAACATTTTAATAAAGTTAGTTAAATCTTAAAGTTAAATCTTAAAATTAGTTATTATCAAATTATTTTTATCAATTTTATAAATATAACATTTACCCTGTACGGAGTTAAAAATAGATTGCATTATGGTAGCATTCTTTGCTGAAAAGTAGTATGGAAATATACAAGGAGAAAAAAATTTAAATTTTCAACTAATAACTTTATTTTTATAAATGGATATGTTTATTTTTATAAATGGATATGTTTAAAAGACTGAAGTAATAGATTTTTATTTCAAAATATCAATATTTACAGGACAGCAGAAAGTACATGCTTTGGCAACTTCCGATGAACAATTTTAGATATCAACTTAAAGTGGGATGGGACACCTGGTTTTGGAACAACTTCTAGGAAGTACACGGCTTTACAACACTGCCCAGGTGAGGCTGGGGGGGCGGCCTGGAATACAGTTACCTGGGAAGGGAGGGAGGCTGCTTGTTAGGAAGATGCAGATTCCTGGGCTCCACCCAGATTGAGTTATATAGGTTTGGGTTGGACCCTAAGTAAGTCAATTTTCAACATGCACCCCTGCTGGTTGTCATGCAAACTAACATTGAAAACATTTAAGAAACATTACTTAAAAAAAAAGGAGTATTTTACAGTATTTCAGCCCAGGCTGAAGAGGAAAACACCTCACCTACAGTTTAGGGTTGAGAATCAACCTGAAACAAGTCAGGTCAGAGCTCACCACGCAGCGCCCAGGGGAGGCCTGCAGCCAGGACTCGGGAGCAGAAGTCCTAAGATGGCCAAAGGACAGACAGATGGAGGGAGTCTGGGAGCCTGCTTGCCACTGCAGATGCACTTGGGAGGATGACAAAGTCTAGCCTAGTCTAGCCTAGTCCTCTTCCAGCCGCTGAGGGTGAGTGTCCTTGAACTTAGGTAGGGGAAGGACTGAGTCCAGAGCATGCGCTAATGGAAAGCAGGTGCACAGAGCACACTTCGGGAAGCAATGAGCGAAGGGCAGAGGTACTTGCCATGGAAATGCCCTGGGGATCCTCTGACAACACTGTGGGGACAGCTGAGGCATTTGTCCCCTTTTGGTCCCACTGGTGGCCTCAGTGCAGTCCTGGGGGCCCCGTCTCCTGGCTGCTCACGGGGCTGAGCTTGGCAGCAGCTGCTCTCTCTTCCTCGGGTCACAGAAGAACTGCAGTTTCCGGGGCAGCAGCTTCACCTCCACAGGCATTGCCTCGTACTCCTCACTGTCGATGCTAAAGGAGCCCCCTGTGCCCTGCGAGGAAGAGAGTGTTCAGCCAGCGCACACCACACTTGGCAGAGTCCTGGCAGCACCAGAGCAAGTCATTCATCCTGAGGATTTAGTCTAATGTTCTTTTAGGAAAATATTTTAGTGACTATTATGGGCATCATGCTGTTTCTGGAAATATCCCAATTCCGCCATCCATGACAAAGATTATTATTTTTTTTATCTCTATCTTCTACCAGAGTATTTTTGGATTTGAATGGCAAGGTTACAATCTTGAAATATATGTTAAAAGACAAAGGTCCTGCCACATCTTGGAGGAAGAATTCATAAACATAGTCACGTTGCAGGTCTTTCTCAAAGGAGAAGTGAGCGAGACAGCACATTCTCCTAGGAGAGCCATCATGTCCACCTGACTGTTCAAGATTCCCTTTAGGATTTGCTTAGCTCTGTACTTAAGGTGAAACAAGCAACACTGCCGTCTACTGGCTTTTCCATCGATGCATTTAATGACGTTTCTGTGATGAAACTGTGGGGCTCTGCAGTGCTTCTTGGGTAAAATAGGACAGTCTGCAGCAGCTTGTCTCCCGCCATGTCACTAATAAAATAACCTTAGAACTTAGATGAAATTTCCAACTTTCCCCCCACTTACATAGATTAATCTTCTTAGTGCCATTTCGAAAACTGCTTGCAGGTCCTTCATGACAAGTGTGAAGGTAGAATCACAGTTAACATTTGAGAATGTTCTGTGTGTGATAATACAGTAACACTCTGAAGTGATCGCTAGGTCTCCTGAACTTTTCCCCCAATATGTAAATTATGCAGAGAACCTTGGGTTAAAAACATTCGATTCTGTCATCTTCCAGGTCTCCCTTATATGACCCAGAGCCTGGCAAAGTGCTCCGCACAGCCTAGGTCCCTAAAGGAGAGGGAAAGCCCAGAGGAAGAAAACAGAGCTGTGGGCCAGCCACGCCGCTTACCTCGGGCAGGACCAGGGTGCACTGGCTGGCTTGGAGACACTCGGTGCCCTCAGCACGCAGCTTGGGATCTCGTACCTTTTTACTTCTGTTAGGGGAAAAAACAAGCTTGGAAACTAGTATTGGTGACTAGTAGATTGCAGGTACGTAGGAAGTTCCTTCTGTTTTTGATGAGATTAAGTATTCATCCATTGAATACCAGGAAGTTCTGTAATTTTTTCCATGAGAACTCTTGCTCAGCGTTCTGGGTTGAGAAGGTTTACTTGCTGTGGAGAGCTGTGCATGTCATTAGTCCTAATTTTAAATTGTCCACATGTACCCAATTCTTGGGTTATTAAGAATGAAATTAAATTATTTAGGGAAAGTACTAAACATCTGTTGTTTGGTACTTCTTGTGAGTCAACTCTTAAGGTAGATGTTTCTTATATACATCGTATATAAACCACCCATTTTACAGTAAGCTTTCTGCTGAGTCTGCGTATGAACTGCCTACTTAGCATGATACATCTTTACCTTCACCAAATGGAGTTAGTCAACTATCCAAATAACTATCCACACATAGTCCCCGCTTCACAGCTAGACATGGGAAGTAGAAAAAGAACAAAACCTGATCCAAGCAAATTAGTCCATTCTTTTTCATTAACTGACAACAGTAATCAGTTTGCTAGAGCAACTCCACAATGTCCTATTCAGATACCTAGAGGAAACAGACATTACCCGATTTCACTTCCCGTAGAGACCAAGAGACCGTGCTATTGCATAATGACTTCACTTAAGCAAAATGATCATTTTTTCTTTCTATTTTTTTTCTTTCTACTTTTGGAGGTCAGTACCAAAGGAGATTTGAATATAATTGGCCCCACTGGTCAGACTCTTAAGTCACTGTACGGCTTCTGCACTCTCTGTAGAGGAAGGATATGGTTTTCCTTTTACTACAGATACAGCAAGTAAACCAAGGCTGCAGAAGCAGCTGTACAGCATCTGAAGAATTTGTAGCAAAGGCAAAACCACCACAAACCAATGAAAGACATTGTGCTGCCACTGCCGGTGCAAATAATTAGGTAGCCATGGAAACCCAGCCGCTGCAGCAGAAATGCCTAACCCTTCAATGGGCACGAGAGGGAGCTCTGAGCCAGAGCACAGAAAACACCGCTGAGCAGATTACCAGTGGGCATGGTAACAGGCGCCGCACAGAGGCTGTGAAGATGGGGGAGGGCTCGAACATTCTTAATAAAACCCTGGCAGCATTAGGGAGGGCTTAACAAATCAGACAGGACTTGGAAGGGTGTTTTCTGGTGGAAAAGGGGAAACCTGGAACATGGCCAAAGTTCTCAATACCTTTTCAGGTTTTTCATTAGCACCACGAGAATAGGACAAGTGGACTGACAAACTGCAGTGATTCTATGAAGTCTGTCACAATGAAAGAGGTTTGCCCACATTCACCTGAGACTCAAACATTCTTGAGATAGAGGAGATTCTATTACTCCATTCCACACACAGGGAAAATGATTCAGCAAAGTAAGGATTTGTCCAAATCGTGAGGCCAGAAAGTGGCCGAATCCAGCCATTCCAACCCAGAAGCTGAAATCCCAGATATTGTGCCATGCTACACTGAGTTCTTTCATTTCATTAAAAGGCCAAAACTGTTCCCATCCTCGGATCTTTTCAAAATGAACAGGGAAGGCAAGAGAAAAGAGCACTAGACATGTCTACCCAGTGAAACAAAGAATGCTGTCACTCTCAAATCCCGCGCTGGGTCTCTATCATAGACTTCGTGGGTACTCTGAACACGATACAAGACAAATGACTTCAGCCTCATTGCCTCCAAACCAGTCCACCTACCTCCAGTTATGAAATTGCAATCTACTTACCCTACAGTGATGAAGTCTCCTTTGCTGACACTGTCGGGTTCAATGCAGATATTCATAAAGTCTTCTGTGCTCTGAAAGATTAAGACATTAATATTCTGAATTCTTGCTGACGCGACCTGCTGCCATCCTTAAGCCCTGCAGATTCATATTTTAAAGCTGTGTAAGAAGGGGGGTGGGAGGGAGACTTCATCCTGAATATATTTTTGGTTCCTTTTTTTCTTTTTACATTAAGACCTTCATTGTGATATAATTTACATACCATAAAATTCATCTCCACTGTTTTTTGCAACATATACAAGATAAATAAAAACTCAGATTTGGAGGTTTGTCAAAACTAAGAGTGGGAGATTTGTGAAGTTCTGTCACAAATAATCAAAGCTGTTAAGAGTCCCTAGGATTCACTCCCCTGCAGGCCAAGCTTTCAGCCCACTATCCCTGAAGGTCTTACTCTACGTCAGCATCACACCACACCTGCTTCAGCAGCGTGCTGGGTAGGGCTCCATGTCTCTAAATGCTGTACACGCAGATTTGGTGTGAAGCCAGAGCTTAGGAGAAGCAATCCACTTATGACATGGTAATGCTTTAAGGACTTTCCATTCCAACCATAGAAAGTTCTGGGAGAGCTGAACTACAAGGAAGTGGCTATAAAAATAGACTCAGTTCTAATATCACTCCCCCAATTTACTAGCAGTCAGTGGCTAGCAGTACACACCGGGCCCTCTGAAATTCAGTCCCGTCACTCCTTCCTTGTCTGCTTCAAATAGAGGTTTGCTTCTTTGTGGACTAGTTCAAAATCTGTAGCCCCAGGATAACCCGCAGGCCTCTGACAGCTTTTGCCAAAGATTAAAAGCCAGACGAGAGCATAACTTTATCTCTCAACTGGCAATTACAAAACAGAGGTGACTTTGCTCTAAATTCATCTTTTATTTAGCATCAATCGACTTGCTGAGTGAATTCCTCTAGATGCTAAAAACCCCCAACAATTTCTGCCTATGAAGTACTTACATTCTATCAGAGAGACTGGAGAGGATAAACAAAAACAAAACAAAAAAGCAACCATAACTTAAAAATTCAAATGCTAGAGCATATTACAAGTATGCTAGAATATACCAGTATAAAAATAGTAAATTGTGGAATGAATATATATGGCATAAATGGCAAATTATAGAGTACACTAGAGGCCTGGTGCATGGATTCGTGTACCATTGGGGTCCCACTGCCTGGCCTGCGTCCTCTCACAACCCGGGACCCCTCGGGGGAATGTCAGACTACTGGTTTCGACCTGATCCCCAGGCCAGGCTGAGGGACTCCACAGGTATGCAAATTCATGCACTGGGCCTCTAGTATGCATATAAGATCTTTGGTTGATTGCTTTCTGCCCTTCCCCCTTCCCTCTGAAATTCATCAGTCTGTTCCATGTTTCCATGCCTGTGCATTGAATGTCTGGCCCCTGGTGGTCAGTGCATGTTACTGGTAGAACAGCTGCTTAGACTTTTATATATAG